CACGGGTGCCCATGCTCGGGCCTGCTGCCATCTGACCATCTGCTCTCCGAGGGCGCTTGCTGGACCCTTGCTTGCTGGGCCACTGTGCAGGGAGGGGGGTGGGCACCTCGTCTCCAGTGGGGCAGCGACTATGTTCGGCCACTAGAGGCCAGTGCAGCCTGAGGGGGCCAGGTGGCCTGCCAGGACCAGCTCAGTGCACCTGGGGAGCAGGGTGGGGCCGAGGTCCCTTGTTGCCTCCAACCCCAGGGTCCTCTGAGATGCCACGACTGCCTGGGACATGAGTCCTGTGCCCATCACCCTGTGCTCACAGTATTTCTAGTTAGCCCAGAGACTGGGACTGTGGGGCCTGCCCAACTAGCTTCCAGAGCCTTCTTGGAGCTGAGGCCTGGCCAGGGGCGGGCAGGTGTGCAGATTAGTAAGGTGCTGGCCTCTCAGGGAGCACCTGAGGGAGTCAAGCTTCCAGGAGGGAACTTCACCTAGGGGAAACCAAGGTGAAACCTTGGTTTTGGGCACCAAGGGCCCCAAACCTCAGTCCAAGGGCCTGGGAGCTGAAAGAAACTCCAGCATTTCTATTTAGAAGGTTCTGGAAACTTGTAACCAGGACAACAATTTTATTTTTTGTCCTGATGATATCTGGGTCGTTCAGGGAAGCTCTTGTCCATGAAAGTTCTTGACGGGGTTCCAAATCCCCTCCACTCTCTTGCTTCTATCAACATCATGATTCAGTCAAAGTCTCCTCTTTGTCTTCCCACCAGTCAAACCCTACCAAAGGAGAGGGCCACTGGGGAGGGGGGTGGAGTGGGGGTAGGAAGAGGGGCTCAACCAACAACCGGTTTGCAGGAGGTTTTTCCCTCTGAATTCCAAACACAGGGTAAAGCAGGGGCCCAGCCTGGACTTGCTTCTTGGCCTTCCCCACTGGGGTGTTTCTTTGACCCTCATCATTTCAAGATTGGCTCAGAGATTTTTTTTTTAAGATTGTATGTATTTATTTGGCAGAGACACAGCGAGAGGGAGCCTAAGCAGGGGGAGTGGGAGAAGGAGAAAGAGACTCCTCACTGAGCAAAGAGCCCGATGCGGGGCTCAATCCCAGGATGCTGGGATCATGACCTGAGCCTAAGGCAGATGCTTAACTGGCTGAGCCACCCAGGTGCCCCTGGCTCAGAGATTTTTTCTTTTTTCTTTTTTTTTAAGATTTTATTTATTTATTTGACAGACAGAGATCACAAGTAGGTAGAGAGGCAGGCAGAGAGAGAGGAGGAAGCAGGCTCCCCGCTAAGCAGAGAGTTCGATGTGGGGCTTGATCCCAGGACCCTGGGATCATGACCCAAGCCGAAGGCAGAGGCTTTAACCCACTGAGCCACCCAGGCGCCCCTGGCTCAGAGATTTTTTGTGTAAGGAACGGATTCTGGAATTCATGTGGGTTCTGGTTTGAGCCCCTAGCAAAAAGTGTTTCGAGATGCTTCTCAGAACAGGTACAACACAACACAGATCCACAGCTTCTACCTTAAAAAGAATTTTTTTTAAAGCACTCACTTCCCGTGAAGCACTGCCTGGGCATGTGCAAACTATAAAGGTCAATTACATTCACTGCACCCCTGACCCTGAGGGGGGCGGGGCTCCAGGCACAAGGAGCAGCACTAAATGGGCTCACGCTCCAGGCATGGGCACCACTGCTAACCTCCAAGCTCCTCCCACTCTGATGTGATCCCCCCTGCCTCCGAAGGGCCCCAGAGTCAATGAGTGGGCTGTTGGTCCGCAGAGCTGGTGGGCACATGGGGGAAGGGGGGAGAGTGCTTGGAGCCGCCCCCTGGAGGAAGGGCAGATGGCATGACACAGCCTCACGGGTGGTGCCAGTCAGTCCACCAGACATGGGAGCCCCTTCCTGAAGCCTCAGGCACCTGCCTTCGCTGCCCACGGCTCGCCAGGGCCTCCGTTCACTTTCTGTGAACACAGAGTGGACTGGAGCAGGGGCTGTGCTCAGACAAGCACCCCCCATCCCCCGACACTGGATGAAAGTCGCAGCCTCTGGCTCTCCATGAGCAGGGACATGGGCCTGCAGCCTTCAGCTCATTATCTTCAGCCCTGAGCACCAACGCAGGGAGGAAACAGTTGTGACCCATGACCTCAGGCTCAGTGACAAGGACACAGTAGTAGGAAAGGTTAGCCCCTGGTAGATCTGCACCCAATCAGGCCTGTGCCAGCCTCTTTATGCACTCTCTCTCTCTCTTTTCTTTCCCCTTTTTAACGTAATCTCTACACCTAACTTAGGGCTTGAACTCACCACCCAAGATCAAGAGTTGCATGCTCCACTGACTGAGCCAGCCAAGGGCCCCTTTGCAGCCACGCTGGGAATCTAGACTACTCTTGTCTCCAGCATCTCCTCCAGACCAGGCCCTGGCGAAGGGCCCACAACTGCTTAGTGGCAGAACTGGAAGGTGACCCCTGCAAGGGGCCGGCCCTTTGAGAAGTGTGCCATCTGCTCACGCAGCTGGAGTCCCTGGATCAGGGTGGGAGGCCCCTTCAGTTTTCACCCCCATGCCCGCCCTTTCACGTGGGTGGACACAGGGCTGGGGCACCGAGGAAGTCCGCCATGTGCGGAGTTCAGTGTATGATCGCAAAGCCAACCCTCCACGACCCCTCGTGTCCCCCGCTCCCCGGCGCTCCTCCTGACCTGGCTCAGGTCACCCCCTTGCAGTTCCCAAATCTTCCCCCTGTTGGTGTGCCTTCCTAAACACGCAGTCTGGGCCTGCTTTGGACCCGTATGGGACTGGAACAGCAGTGTCTCTAGGCCTTTCCTGGCACATCAGGCTAGCGAGATCTGTCCGTGCGTCCCTCCCTCTCCCATCCCTGGGACCAGGAAGTGGCCTAGGAAGGGGCCCAGCCCAGTCCCGCTGTCACCTTGCAGCCCGCAGGTGTCTTATTCCAGGAAGGCATGCCCACACCCAAACTCCGTCACTGCATCTGAATTTTCAAAAACCAGCAAGCACCGTGTAACAGAACCTTTTGTTTATGTAAACCCAGCCCAACCTGTTTCAAGTCCTGTTGAGAGAGGCACTCTGGGTTCTCTCCGGCCTGAGTCCCCTTACTCTCCCCCACCCTGGCCTGGAGCTTTCCACTGCAGAGCTCTCGCCTCGGGGGCCTCCTTGCCCTCCCCACGCTCAAACTCCTGCCCTTTGATCCTCCCTGACCAAGAGGAAGGACAGACCCAGGATGTCCTGGACAGTCACACTTGAAGGATGAACTTTTCTCCTTCCTTTCCCTCCCTCCACATACTCCTTTCCGGGAAAGGGCTTGCCAGTGGAAACTCCCAGATTATAAGATCCTAAAGCAAATCTACCTTTAAGGCTAATAACCACCTCTTTAAGTCTGGCTAATAGGAAGAAAATGCTCATATTTGGCTCGCCTAAAGACATTGTTAACTGGTAACTTTGAGCGATATTGTTTGAGTTGATTTTTTGCCACCTCCCCCCACCCCCATCTGCACTCAGGTTGGAAATGCAGAGGCCAGAACCTCCCGTGTCCAAAGGACCTGCTTGAAACATCTCCCACTGGATAGACCCGGTGGAGCCTTCTGGGACGAAGAGACTCCACTGACTGGCGAGGGGCGGGAGTGGGGTCCCTGCGCCCCGCGCTCTACCGAGGGGCGAGTGCATCTTCCCGCCCCGGGGCGGCACAGTCCTAAAGTCCCTGGGGTGTCAAGTCCTAACCCGGCCCTTCAAACCGTGCCCCGTAGGAGGCGGGGGGGGGGTCCACTTAGTTCTAAAGCCCCCATCTCCATCTGTTTCTCCGCAGAAGGCTGAGGTGCGGAGGTCAGTTCCAAAGCTCCCTCCCCCAGGCTCGTCCCCGCAGGCGACGGGGGCGGGGAGGCGGGGTAAGGGGTGCTGCCACGCTTCTAAATAGCCCGCAGGTGGCTCTCCGCTCCCGGCCGCGGCGCTTCAGAAGGAGCCGGGAGGTCCCCGGACCCGGATCGCGCGCGTCCACGAACGGTCGGGCTGGTCCCTCCAATGTCCCCACTCCAAATCCTAATGTCAACGCAGGCTGTTTTCTTTTCCGTTTAAAAGTTGCACTTTAAACTCGGTGGGACCCGAATCCGGTTAGTTGCCGATGGCATTCCCAAGTTTTGTCGGGGTGAAGCACTTTAGCCTCCCGCATTGTGCTGTGAATGTGTAACCTCCCTCCAGCCGCTGCCGCGGTCCCCGAACCGGGGCGGGCCATGCGGGCCCCTCCCGGGCACCTCGGCACCCGCCCTCTCCCCTCCCGGGCCCAACCTGCGCGGCGGCCGGCGCGGCGCTCACCGCGGATCAATTCTGCCCGCGTGGTGGCGGCGGTGGGGGTGGGGGTGCTTCGCGCCGCGCCCCGCCCGGGACCCGCAGAGCCACCGCCCACCGGTAGCTGCCGCCGGGGGGCCCCCCTGCCCTGCCTTTCCCGGCCCGGCTCCCTCGGCCCCGCCCCCCGGGGAGGTCGGGTGGGGAGGCCGCGGGGGAGTGGGCCCGGCCTCCCCCGGCTGCGCCCCCGCGTCTCCATAGCGATCCTCCCGGCGCGCACCTCCGGGCCGGCTCCCCCCGGGGCTGAACAATGCGCGGCGGGGCCGGGGGCGGGGCCCAGCTGGGCCGGGGGCGGGGAGAGCGCGGGCCGAGGGGGCGCCGGCCGAGCGCACCGCCCAGGCAGCAGCCGGCCGCCGGGGTCTGAGCGACGCGGTGCGGCCCCTCCGGCTCCGGGAGCGCCGCCCCCGCCCTGGCCCGGGCCCGCCCCGCTTCCCACGCCGCCCGGCTGAGCCCGCGCGGGAGCCACCTGGAGCCGCCGGCAGCCGCAGCCACGGCAGGTTGATGCGCGGCGCCCTCCCGGGACGCGCACAGGAGCCATCTTGAAACCAACTTCGCAAACTTTCGCAAAGTGCTCTCGAAGTGGAAGCTGCGGGGGAGCCCGGGCGCGCGGCCGCCGGTGTCCCCGCCGGGGCCCCCGGGGAGGCAGGGCGCGGGCCGCCCCGAGGGCCCGGCGCGGGGCGCGCAGGAGTCCTCCCCCGGCCGCGCCGGGTGGATGCGGAGCCGCACCGGGTGCATGGATTGTGCTCGGGCGCCCGGCTCGGGCTCGGGCTCGGGCTCCGGGCCATGGCGCCGCCGCCGCCTCCCGTGCTGCCCGCGCTGCTGCTCTTGGCCGCGGCCGCCGCCCTACCCGCGCTGGGGCTGCGAGCAGCCGCCCGGGAGCTGCGCGTGCCCGGCGCCGCCCGCGCCTTCGCCCTGGGGCCGGGCTGGACCTACGCGCTGGACGCCGCGCGCACGCCGCGGGCGCTGCGGGAGCTGCTGGACTTGAGCCGAGACGGGCGGCTGGCGGGGCGGCGGCGCTGGCCCGGCGCGGGGCCCCGGGGCTGCGTGCGCCTGGGGGGCCGCCCGCTGCCGCTGCTGGTCCGCCTGGCGGCCCGCGGCGCCCCGACGGCCCTGAGCCTCCGCCTGAGGGTGCGCGCGCACGGCCCGGGTTGCGGCGCCCAGCTTCGGCGCCGACCCGCCACCGGCGCGGAGCTGCGGGCGCGGGCTGTGCTCACGGTGCCGAGGCCCGGCGCGGTGCTCTGCTTCCCGGCCCCCGGCGGCGGCGGCGGCGACAGTGGCGGGGCCACGCTGCACTCGGCGCTCGCGGTCCTGACCACCTTTCCCGCCTGTAGGTGCCTGCCGCACCCCGGCCCCCGCTGCCCACGCCGATCCGTCTGCCTGTCGCCCGGGGACTCGGCCCGCCTGCGCCTGCTGTGCGCTCTGCGGCGCGGGGCCGGCGCCATCCAGGTGGAGCTGGCGCTGGAGGCGGCCTCAGGGACGCCCTCCCCGGCGCTGTCGCTGTCTCTGTCGCCGCCGACCCAGCCCCAGCCCCAGGCCGGGGCGGTGGCGGCGCGGCGGGCTCGGCGGGGCGCTGGCGGCAGCACTACCCCTCAGTTCCCGCTGCCTAGCTACCAAGTATCCGTGCCCGAGAACGAGCCTGCTGGCACCACGGTCATCGAGTTGCGCGCGCATGACCCGGACGAGGGCGAGGCGGGGCGCCTGAGCTACCAGATGGAGGCCCTGTTCGATGAACGCTCCAACGGCTACTTCCTCATCGACACCGCCACGGGCGCGGTGAGCACGGCCCGCGCACTGGACCGCGAGACCAAGGACACGCATGTGCTCAAGGTGAGCGCCGTGGACCACGGCTCACCGCGGCGCTCGGCCGCCACCTACCTCACCGTCACAGTCAGCGATACCAACGACCACAGTCCGGTCTTCGAGCAGTCCGAGTACCGTGAGCGCGTGCGTGAGAACCTCGAGGTGGGCTACGAGGTGCTGACCATCCGTGCCACCGACGGCGACGCGCCCTCCAATGCCAACATGCGCTACCGCCTTCTGGAGGGCGCGGGTGGCGTCTTTGAGATCGATGCGCGCTCGGGCGTGGTGCGCACCCGAGCGGCGGTGGACCGGGAGGAGGCGGCCGCCTACCAGCTGCTGGTGGAGGCCAACGACCAGGGCCGCAACCCAGGCCCACTCAGCGCCACCGCCATCGTGCACATCGTGGTGGAGGACGAGAATGACAACTACCCCCAGTTCAGCGAGAAGCGCTATGTCGTGCAGGTGCCCGAGGATGTGGCCGTCAACACACCTGTGCTGCGTGTGCAGGCCACTGATCGGGACCAGGGGCAGAACGCGGCCATCCACTACAGCATCGTGAGCGGCAACCTGAAGGGGCAGTTCTATCTGCATTCCTTGAGCGGCAGCCTGGACGTCATCAACCCGCTGGACTTCGAGGCCATCCGGGAGTATACGCTGCGCATCAAGGCGCAGGATGGGGGCCGGCCTCCGCTCATCAATTCCTCGGGGCTGGTCCTGGTGCAGGTGCTGGACGTGAACGACAACGCCCCCATCTTCGTGAGCAGCCCCTTCCAGGCGGCCGTGCTAGAGAACGTGCCCCTTGGCCACTCGGTGCTGCACATCCAGGCGGTGGACGCGGACGCAGGGGAGAACTCCCGCCTGCGCTATCGGCTGGTGGACACGGCCTCCACCTCCGTCGGGGGTGGTGGGCCTGCGTCCCAGGACCCTGCATCTCCCCCGGACTTCCCTTTCCAGATCCACAACAGCTCGGGCTGGATCACCGTGTGCGCGGAGCTGGACCGTGAGGCAGTGGAGTACTACAGCTTCGGGGTGGAGGCGGTGGACCATGGCTCGCCTCCCATGAGCTCCTCGGCCAGCGTGTCCATCACGGTGCTGGACGTGAATGACAACGACCCGGTATTCACGCAGCCGGTGTACGAGCTGCGTCTGAACGAGGACGCCGCTGTGGGGAGCAGCGTGCTGACCCTGCGGGCACGTGACCGGGATGCCAACAGTGTCATCACCTACCAGCTCACCGGCGGCAACACCCGCAACCGCTTTGCCCTCAGCAGCCAGAGCGGCGGCGGCCTCATCACCCTGGCGCTGCCGCTGGACTACAAGCAGGAGCGGCAGTACGTGCTGGCCGTGACCGCGTCCGATGGCACCCGCTCGCACACCGCTCAGGTCTTCATCAACGTCACTGACGCCAACACCCACCGGCCGGTCTTCCAGAGCTCGCACTACACTGTGAGTGTCCGCGAGGACCGGCCGGTGGGCACCTCCGTTGCCAGCATCAGCGCCACCGACGAGGACACCGGCGAGAACGCTCGCATCACCTACGTGCTGGAGGACCCCGTCCCGCAGTTCCGCATCGACCCGGACACGGGCACCATCTACACCATGACTGAGCTGGACTACGAGGACCAGGCCGCCTACACCCTGGCCATCACCGCCCGGGACAACGGCATCCCTCAGAAGTCCGACACCACCTCCCTGGAGATCCTCATCCTCGACGCTAATGACAACGCGCCCCGCTTCCTGCGGGATTTCTACCAGGGCTCCGTCTTCGAGGACGCGCCGCCGTCCACCAGCGTCCTCCAGGTCTCCGCCTCCGACCGGGACTCGGGCCCCAACGGCCGTCTGCTCTACACCTTCCAGGGCGGGGACGACGGGGACGGGGACTTCTACATCGAGCCCACGTCCGGTGTGGTCCGCACCCAGCGCCGCCTGGACCGGGAGAATGTGGCGGTGTACCTCCTCCGGGCCCTGGCTGTGGACCGGGGGAGCCCTGCGCCCCTCAGTGCCTCAGTGGACATCCAGGTGAGCGTCCTGGACATTAATGACAACCCCCCGGTCTTTGAGAGGGACGAGCTGGAGCTGTTTGTGGAGGAGAACAGCCCCGTGGGGTCTGTGGTGGCCAGGATTCGTGCCAGTGACCCCGACGAGGGCCCCAACGCCCAGATCATGTATCAGATCGTGGAGGGCAACGTGCCCGAGGTCTTCCAGCTGGACCTGCTGAGCGGCGACCTGCGCGCTCTGGCCGAGCTGGACTTCGAGGTCCGGCGGGAGTACGTGCTGGTGGTGCAGGCCACCTCGGCCCCGCTGGTGAGCCGGGCCACCGTGCGCATCCGCCTCCTGGACCAAAACGACAACCCGCCCGTGCTGCCCGACTTCCAGATCCTCTTCAACAACTACGTCACCAATAAGTCCAACAGCTTCCCCACAGGCGTGATCGGCCGCATCCCAGCGCACGACCCCGACCTCTCCGACAGCCTCAACTACACCTTCCTGCAGGGCAATGAGCTCCAGCTGCTGCTGCTGGACCCAGTGACCGGCGAGCTGCAGCTCAGCCGGGACCTGGACAACAACCGGCCGCTGGAGGCGCTCATGGAGGTGTCTGTTTCTGGTGAGTGGCCGCCCCTAGAGCCGCAGGGACCCGCCGGGGGCCTGCCCGACGAGCCGGGGCGCATCTGGGCAGGGCCCAGGCAGCTCTTCGGGGATCTGTGGGCTCCGGTTGGAGGGTTGGTGCCACGAGCTGGGGGCGTGCTCCCCACTTAGGCCAAGGGAGTGGGAGGGGTACGGCACTGCTTCCCTCAGCACTTTTGCTGGGAGCAGGCTCGGGCTGCCTCAAGTTCAAGACCGGGGCTTTTTTTTTTTTTGGCGCTTTCCTCCATGGGCTGTGTCTCCCGAATGTGCTATGAAAAGTTGGTCTGCAGGGCTATCTGAGGTGTCTGGTTTGCTTGGTACCGTTCTGTGGTCAGCCCTCCGCCTGTCTGGAAAGATCAAAGGTCACTGCCCGCCGGTGTGCTGCATGGAAATTGCTGGATGGTTCCCTGAGTCGCCCTGTAATGGGACGGCAGTTGCTTCGCGTAGTGTCTCTTTTCTGTCTCCTGCAGATAATAACAATCCCGCTTCTGTGTGCTCGTCTGTCTGGGAGTGCTTTGAAAAGCATAGCCTCGTTTGATCTTGGCTTCTGCTCCTGGACACGGGCTTGTAATTTGGGTCTTACTGAGAGGCCTGCCCAGTTTGGCGGTGGAGCCGGTGTGGGAATCCAGTGGGCCCGCTCTGGGCCTGGAGGTGCGCAGACGAGCAAGGTGGTCTCCGCTCCGTCAGCCTAATGCCCAGCAGCAAAGAGTTCGTGCCCCATGCCGCCAACCCCCGAGTGCCAAGCGGGGCCCCCAAGGCCGGGGGGAGAGGACAGATAGAGGGCGTGGGAATTGGGAGACACAGCGTCTCCTTAAGGGGGCCCACCTGTGGGCAGGGTGCTGGTGCAGACAGGTGCCCTTAATGATGAGACCGAACTATGACCAAGAAAGGCTTGGACCGTGGGTTGTTTGAGTCAGTGTTTCGGCTGACTTATTTGAACAATAAATGATTTCAACACAGTGTCACCGTGGGAGCCCTGCGAGAATTAAAAAGGAAATTCTCTGATCTGTTTTGTTTTCACCATTGGTTATCAGTCGCTACGCCAGGGGTTGGGTGGCAAACAGGTTCCTGTTCCAGTTGTTTGCTGGTGAGATCCGGAGCTCAGGGTCCAGTTCTGCGGTGGTGCGACCCTTCGCCAAGGCTTTCGGCGGCACAGTCTCTCCGCAGGTGCATATTGTAGGTTCTGTGGGGTCATGTACCTGCGCAGGGGATACGGAAGAGGCCCTTAGGGGGAAGTTGTTAGCGGGGTTATGCGTATCCCGAGCAATGACCTGATACCAAAAATTGTTTCCTTCCCAGATCCCCACTTGGGTTTGCCCAGTTTTTGATCCTTCTGCTCTGCGCGCTGGGTACGACACAGTGGAAAACAGCCGGTGTGGAAACGACTTGGCAACACCCTGGGGTTTTGACTGCACAGGGGACACAGGGGGCTTTAGTGGGAACAGTGCGTGTGGAAGCAAGGATGTTGTGTGCGTCTGAGGCGTCAGGAATGTGGGCCCCCCTGTGGCAGCCGGATAACAAGGCTTAGGATGGATTTCATCCCCCCAGAGGGGAGTTACTGCGAGCTGGCTCGCCTACCTGGAGGGCCGCCGGTTGGGACCACAGTCGAAGGTGGGCCGGGGATCCATGCCACGTGGGGGACTGTCTCAGTGGTCTCGGTGACCCAGGGCCGACATAATGCTTCTGTCCCTCGGGCACTGGGCCTTCTGGGGGGTCCCCCCAGGAATAGGTGGTTCCCTTCCGCTGGGTTCTGATCTGACAGCGGATGGCTTTATAAACCCTTGCACTTAACACGGACACGCAGCCTTCCGGTAACTGGGAGGTGAGCAGTGTTAGGATCCTTGCCTGCGAGAAAATTCTGGAGGAATGCGTTGCTGGCTGACCGTTCCAGCGCCAAACCCTCACTCAGTGCCGAGTCTGTGCTGAGGTTTGAGGGGCCCCTTGACTGCAGTTGAGTGCTCGGGCAAAGCCAATGGCTGGAAACTCTCAAAATCTGAGATTCCAGACAGCAGAGCGTGGGGTAGAAACAAAACAGAGCCTGAGGTCAGTCTTTGAATGAACCAGGGTGGGTTCTTAGGTTTTGTAAAAGAACAATGGAGAAAGCTGTTGTGGGGGACTCACACCCTGTTTTCATTGAAGTGTTATTGGCTTTTTGGGATTTACAGCCGTGCCCTAAAGCCTCTGATGCCTTATTACCGCCCTCGAGGTGCTGGACGGAGTGGTTCTGTGGGCGCCAGGCCAGTAGGTCCCCGGCAGAGGAGGCTGCTGGGAAGGTGCACAAGGGGGAGGGCCTGAAATGGCCAGGCAGGGGAGAGGGGTGTGCAGGCGGGGAGGACCTGCGGGGGTGGGCGGGGAGGACTGTGCAGAGGGGAGAGCCCCGCAGGAGGGGAGAGGGTGCAGTGGGGAGGGCCGTGCGGGGGGGAGGGCGGGGGGGGGGGGGTGGGGGGGGGGGGGGGGGCAGGAGGGAATGGCTCCAGGAGAGAGCCCCCTTGGGGGACCTGGGGACCAGGAGAGCCTTTCCTTTTGTTGTCGTTTAGCGGGAACGTTTTGACCGTGAGTAGCTGATACTGATGGTTTCACACAGACGCCCGAGGTCAGAACACCGTTTGAAAATGTTTTTGAATTAAGAAATAGGCACATTCGAATAACAGCCAGTATTTGGAGGACAGCCAGCCCCACAAAATGCTCATTCTCTATGTGACGGTTTTTGAATGAGGTTTAAAATTCTGTGATTGGGACCTTTTTACGGCTGTTGTATGAAAGCCGTGTTTGCATTTTTCAAAGCGGTGCGGCCGCCAGCCCTGTGGGACCTTCAAGCACCACAGGCTTCCCTCTAATCTTTCTGGATGTCAGGCCTTCGTCCCATCAGCATTTTCAATCCAGCTGGGACGTGCGTGTGCCGGTAAGACTGGGGCCGGACGCCGTGCGCGGCAGAGCGTGGCACTTGGTGGGAAAGGGCCCTATGTCTGTGGGTGTTGCCAGCCCGCGGGAATGTTGGCGTGTGTGGGGTAAGAATGACCCGTGTGGCTGGGACACACCAGAAGATGGGGCACCGCGGTGAAATGAGATCGGGCAGCCTCGGGGCTCCCGGGGGGCGCCGTCGGCTGAGCACCAGACCCTTGATCTCGGCTCAGGTCTTGCTCTCAGGGTCTTGAGACCGAGCCCCGTGTCGGGCTCTGTGCTGGGCGTGGAGCCTGCCTCAGAGATGGGCTGTGGTTTGCCTTGGTGGGGAGTACGTGGCCTAGGGCTGCCTCGGCCTGGTGAAGCTTTAGAGCGCATCTGCCTCCTTAAATACAGCGTGTCGAGGGGACTTTTCCATGGGTGGACGCGGAGCCGGAGTGGAGGGTGGGCCGCTGTCCTGGCAGTGCCTGGATGCCTGGTATCAGGGCTCTTCCCGGATCTCACGGGGAGCTGAAGCCGTTGTGGCTGCGGAGCTGGATTCTCCGGAATCCAGTGCCCCGGAAGTTCGGTGCTTCTCACAGCAGGTGGGCATCGCAGCGCCTTCCGAAGCTCTGGGGACAGTCACTTGTTAGCTTACGTTCAGAAACACCGGCTCCGAGCCAAGAGCGTGTTTATCCTTTCACTGAGCACCTACTGTGGGCCAGGTGCGGCCCTGCTCTCCCGGACGCCGGCGGGGGACGGAGGATTGGAAGAACGCAGAGGAACACAGAACTGAGATCACGAAGCGGGAGATGCGGGGTGGGGGAGGTGGTGTGGGGACCCGTAGTCTTGCACACGAAGCACCTTCCTGGCAGGGGAGCGTGTGTGGCGGGAACCCACCCCCCCCCCCGATGTGGAGGGCCAACTCTGGAGGGTTTGGGGCCAATCCGGGAGATTTGGGGAAGAACAGGGTGTGTCTGAGCTGCACATGGGGAGGTGGCTCTAGGCGGTGAGCTGGGAGGCTGGAGGGAAGCGTGGGGGTGGCCGAGGAGCGTGGGGGGACAAGGCAGGGCCTGCGTGGTTAGATGGTGAGATGTGGGGCAGGGATGGGCTTGAGCGGCCCATTTGCTCTGCGCCGGGGCCTCCCCAGGCACTACCTGTCTGCACAGGGCGTGATCCTGCCAGGAGCACGCCAGGGCCCCCGAGGCTTAATGGCAGCTGCTTGCAAAGGCAGCGCTGGGGTTTGAACCCGTGGCTCCCAAGCCATGGTCTCTCAGGCTGTGCTTTCCAGAAAAAAACGGGCTCCAGGAGCACAAGGATGAGGTCAGGGAGGAAGGCTCCCTGAGCCAGGTGTCCTTGCAAGGGGGTCTGGCCTTGGAGTCAAGACCAGGAGACCACGTGTGGCTGGGGAACCTTTGACCTTTGTCACTGTGACGGCTGGACACGCAGGTCTGGGCAGAGGCCAGCTGGAGTCCTGGCCGGAGGTGGTCAGCATGGCCTCAGCAGTGACAGAGAGGGTGGTTGTGACTGGGGGTGGTCAGTGACCAGTCTGCAGGGGCGTGAGGGCATTAGGGCAGGGGATGTGTGTGACGGGAACCGGAGCGTGGCGCAGCCTCGAGGAGCCGTGGCCGGAGTGGCCTGTGGGCAGGGATGGATCAGCCTCGCAGCTGGGGCAGGAGCAACCACACACACGGGAAAAGCTGGGGGATCTGGGGCTCTGGGGGCTGAGGGTCCCACCGTGGGTCACCCGTGGGGCAGAAATGTGGCTTGAATTAACCAAAGGGAAGTCCTTGGTGGTGTCACGAGAGCCAGAGTAGCGGGGGGCTGGGCAGCCCCTCTGAGGAGCAGGGGATAGGCTTGCAGGGGTGAGGGAGCCAGGCTGAGGGCAGGGGGGTGGCTGTGGGGACGTGGAGCCAGCAGTGACCCGGGCTGGGTTGAGGGGCGGGAGGACTAGACCAGTTGGCATGCACCACCACCACGCTGGCCACCCGGTCCCTCTGCCTGCGTGGACGTTCACCCAGTGTGATTCCGGGGGCACCGGGAGTGAGGGGGGTCACCGCGATGGGAGAGCAGTATCTGTTGGGGCCACGTCGAGTGTAG